GGTTCTGGTGGAAACCCAGATGGTCAGCCTAGGCCAAGCCTTAGGACCGCAACAACTTAGTTTGTGGGAGAGGCAAGCCTCCCCCAGCAGGAAGAGGCGTGGCTATCAGGAGCAGGAGGGAGGGGGTGGGTTAGGGATCATCTACGGGAAATGCACACGGCAGACATGGGTCCTGTTCTCTTCACAGCCCCAGCAGGTTCTCCTCTACCCCGCTCCATCTTTCTGACACCGGGTCTCTCTCTTTCCTGCCACTGAGGCCAAGGCTTCACCAGGCTTGGTGGCCTCCTTTTCAAGGTAGTGGGGTCGGTGGGACTCTATTGAGCCTTCAGACGGCTAAAAAAACGTGGACCTCTGCAGAGGGTCTCCTAACCGAAGATCTTTTCCTGACTCCGTGGCCTTTCAGTGTATGCTTGACTTCTGTTCCTAGAATGTAAGGTGTGTCCAGTGACGGATGGCCAAGTAGAAGCTTGAGGGATGGGAGCAGGCGGCCCTAGGCCAAGGCCTCTGTGTTTTATTTTGCGCTGCGAGACACAGTGCTCCTGCCTGTAGACTGTTTTCTGCTTAACACACCTTGGAGCAGCCCGAAATATCTGACATTTTTATAGGACCCAGGCATTCAAAGAGGCTTTTCTTAAGTGTTTCTTGTATAAGGATCTCACCCTCCAGGAACCTTGTGAAGTTCTGCATCTACCAGAGGAAATATGGGAGATAATACCCAGCTCAAATGACAAGGCTGGCAGCAAAATGAAGTAGAGAGCTTTAAGGCTAATTGTTTAACAGTAAGGTACATGTAGGGCTTGTAAAAGGTACATAGGAGGGGTCTGGAGGTGAATCTCAGTTGGTAGGATGCTGGCCTAACAAGCAGGAAGCCTGGGATCTCATCCCCAGCACAGCATAAACCGGGTAAGTGCAGCAGTCGGGAGGGGGCAGGAAGATGCAGGAAGGCTTCTCTTCCACCAGTCTCTTCCCTGTCCTCTTCCACCCCCTCTTATTCTTCTCTTATTCTCACTGCCAGACTCAGAGTACATTCCGTCTTCACAAAGTCAAGTTAATGTTATATGCAGACAATCAAAGTGCAGTTGGTAAGCAGGTTGGCCGTGGCTAGGAGTGAAAACGGGAAACAGGCAGACTATTTGGAAAGCCTAATTTCTGCCTTGCAGTAGTATTTCTTTTCATCAGGACTCACGACAGCAACCAACCTAAACCCACCCCTCCCCCCCACTTCCCCAGGTCCTGGGAAGGAACAGATTCTAAGAAAGACAAGAAGTGACTGAAGGCTCTCTAAACAGAAGGGTAGTACCTAGCTTACCTTCCTTAGAGGCCTGTGACTAGTTACAAGTTAGTGTATGAAAACGAAAACAAACAAACGAACAAAAACCAATACCAACTGATGAAAAGCTGCAACCAACAAATGAACCCCAAGGAAAATCTTGCCTCCCACACCCCACCCCGTGCTTAACTATCTCCCAAGAAAGAGGTCCCAATAATTTCCCTCCATACCAAGCAACTTATGTCCCTGTCTCACCCGCATTCCCCACCCCTGACATTTGACCTCATTCCTCACATCCTCATCTCCAGGGAGATGTGGTTCTGCCCCCATAATGGTCTCCAGGACACTGCACGGTCGTCTTTGGGCTCAGGAACCTAGATTCCTGTTACCTTCCTTTCAGTGTTAGTCATACCTCTGGTCGTGTCTTCCTGGAAACTGTGTGACAAGAGACTGATAAAAATCCACTTTGTGAGGGCTGGAGAGTGGGAGCTTAGTCTTGAAGACTCGGGTTTGGTTCCCAGCACCCACATCAGGCAAGCTCACTGCTGCCTGTAGCTCCAGCTCCAGGGTAGCTGGCACCTCCCCTTCTGGTCTCTGTGCACAACTGAACACACACGGGCCTGCGGGCATTGCTACAAAGACATGCATGTGCGTACACACGCATTGGAAATAGAATCCAGTTGCGAAGATCTGGATGATACTATGCTGAGCCCTTGTCCTTTAAGAAACGTTTTCCTCTTTCTTTAAGAAACATTTTCCTCTCCCATCTCGAAAGAAAGGTGGGGGAGGCGAAGCCAGAGGATGGAAAAAAAAATTAAAACTCGGTTATATCAAGAAATGTTAGGTTTCACATGTGAAAATGTGAACAGGACAGATGAGCTGGCCTGTGGACGGGTTTCTCTTGTCTTACGGTTACTCTCAGCGTGTGAGAGCAGGTGTGCGTATGTGTGCGAGTGTTCTCCAGAGAGAGCCTGTGGGAGTGAGTGGCTGTGTATGTACACCAGAGGCCGGCCTCGCGTGTCTTCCTTGACTGCTCTACACCTTCTGTATGGAGAAGGGTCTCTCACTCAGACCCAGAGCTTTTAGATTCCTCTGCTCCGCCATAGCCAGCCTGCTCCAGGTCTGAGGGGGTGGGGGTGGTTTTCAACATTGACCAACAAGGTTTCCCTGACAGATTCTCCCTGATTGAACGGGTCCCTGAACTGAAATCAGAGTTATCGGGTTAGTGTGACTCACCCACTGTGGGGCAGGCCCTGCAACCTTGAGTATAGGACTCTTTTTATTCTCTTTGGGGTTCTGCTTTTGGTAATGTAAAAATGCTTCCCAGACAAGAGTTTCCAAGACTCTTAAAAGTTACAAGATCTCTTCTCCGTGGGCACCGATTAAAACAAACTAATGCAGCAGCAAATTATGTTTGGCAAACAGACACCAGGAAGCAGATATTTGGACTTCCTGGGCAGGACACAGAGCTGACATTTTCTTCCTGAGCGTGAATCGTCAAACAGTCGCCCTGTTCTGGAAGAGATAAATGATGAGCAAGGATGTCCTGCTTTGGCCATTAGAGACCAAGCCCACAAGGCCAGCAGAGCCCAAAGGGGTGTTAGGAAACTTCTTAGACCAGGGTGCCCTTGATTTAAATGGGGAGGGACGGACAGAGGAGGGATGGGCTTTTATGCCCACTGTAACCTTCTATAATAGGTAACATGAGGACCCAACTGATCATGGACCAACATGTGTGTTATAAAGGGATGTGTATATGCATACCACAGGCTGGAAATATATGGGCCTATAGCTCAGGGGTAGACCATGTGTCTGTCGTTTACAAGGCTCTGGTTCAAACCCTAGCGCTGAAAAAAGGAAACCACGGAAGGGAGAAAGAAGGAGGGGGAGGGGAAGCGGAAAAGACTGTCTTCTACAAATAATCTCCCATTTGGGAGAAAGTAAATTTTTGGCAAAATGTCACTCCGCTCGAAACAAACTTCCCACCGCTGATTACATACACACTTGAAGGGACAGCACTCGGGAAAACAAGGCACCCCAGGCAAGAAGAGCGTTAGAGTAGCCTGCCTGCTCCTCGGGAATATTGATTCACTCCGTCCTCTCCACCCCTCCAATCCCAGAAGAAAAATGAGAGGAGATCAAGGACTGAATGCACACGATAGCCTCAAATGCTCCGAGGTGGATGCAGAAATCCATGGAGCTGTGGTTCATAAAACCGGTGTCGGGCAAAGCTGAAACCTGACCCAGGCCATGAGCCGACTCTGCACTCTGCAGAAGGGCTCTCTTGGCAGAGATTTTTTTTTGAGGGGCCCCAGGAAGGCAATGGAAGGCCTCTAGTTCCTGAGCTGGCTCAGGGGTCAGAGCCTGCTCTAGCTGCTGCAGTGTTGTGTTTTAAGGAAGCCAAAGGGAGGGTTGCTTATCTCTGGCTGATAGATGTGTACTCTTCAGCAGGGCAGGAAAAGAACTCATAAACAGACCAGGCCTGCTGGGGGCTTCTCAGTTGGTGGGGGCCGGAGACTGCAAAGGAGAAGTTTATGACACATTCATTTTGTTGCCGAGAGTTTGTATCACTTTCCTCTACCTAAAGTTGTGTGTGTGTGTCTGTGCGTGTGTGCCTGTGTGCCTGTGTGTGGCCGGTTTTACTGAAGAGACTAGCTAACTGGAGGGCCTCTTACACAGTTAAATGCAAACCATGTGTGTGACCCGAGCTTTCCTCCTTCCCCCCAGAGCATTGCACATTTGGCGCAAAGAATGGGTTGAGCTGCAATGCGGTGGGGTGTGTAATGACTAGTGGGCCGCTCAGTGTGCTGGGAGAGATACATGCACTGAACTCAGCAGAGAGCTTGGCCTGCAAGGAGGTTGGTTGTTGGCAGCCACTGCCGGTCCCGAGTGCAAACAGCTCAGACTCCCTGTCCCAAAGGGTTTTCCCATAGCAGCCCCCTCCCCACTCCTGCTTCTCAGGTAGGTTTCATGCGGGGCACACAAAGCTTTTTGTGTTGTAGCCAGGGCAAACTCTCCACTTCACTAGCCCCATTTTAAACAAGGCACTGACGCAAAGGCGTTGGGGATAGCTCGGTGGTTTCTGGCTCATGTCTAGTGTGTGCAAAGCCCTAGGTTCCATCTTTAGCACTAAAAGGGGTTGGCAATACACAATGGCAAACTTACTTAAAACGTGATAGTTTTGCGATTAACTGTATAACTCAGTTGTGTGGGTTTGTTTTTCTTTGTTTTTTTTTTTTGGTTTTTTGAGACAGGGTTTCTCTGTATTGTTTTGGAGGCCATCCTGGAACTCACTCTGCAGTCCAGGCTGGCCTCAAATTCACTGAGATCCTCCTGCCTCTGCCTCCCAAGTGCTGGGATTAGAGGCATGCGCCACCAACGCCCGGCTAGTCGTGTGGTTCTTGGTCATGAACTTGTTAGATGGTTGTAGATGGCGTCTATGCTGTTTCCCAGTGTTCAGAAGGCCCTAGAATCCAGAGTATTTGTTACCAGCCACCACAGATCCTAGTCACACTGGCCACATTGAAAGCACTCTTACTGGCTTACACACACACACACACACACACACAAGCCAGGAAAACGTATAGTGCAAGGCCCTCCGGCCAGTCTGGGCTAGCTGCTTGCTTCTCTGCCTGTAGTCAAGAAAAACACGAGGTAAAATGTCGAAGGGGGCAGGGGCAGGCGTGTCTTCCCAGAGTGCACGCGTGTAACATGTCTTTGTTAACTGCAGGGGAGACAGCACGAAGGCAGCAAGTCCCCACCTCGCCACCAGCCTCGGAAAACAGCAGCGCGGCCCACAGCATTGGGAGCACCCAGAGCACTCCCTGTTCGAGCAGCAGCACAGCCTAGCCAGAGCCAGATGCCCACCGCTGCTGCAAGGGGCGGGGCCCGATGTGCCAGTGCTGTGTGTCCAGACTCGGAAAGGCTTTGACCTGGGTTCCCTGTAAAGAGAGTAAAGTCGGAGTGTATAGACGGCCTGCTGTACCCAACCCCCCATCATCACAGCCAATGTCAATGTGACCCCCTGGACATCTGTCACACACAAAAGCTAAGCTGGTGGCCTTTCCCCCTCAGGTCCCTCACAGGATAGGGGTTTCAATGTGAAACATACCAGTTTTTTTTTTAAATGCTGCTTTGTCCAGGTGTCCAAACAAACATCCATCATATGGGGTGGTTAAGTTTTAACCCAGAGTTACGGGGAATAGTAAAAAGGATGCGACAGCTGGAAGAGTAGAACCAGGGAGATTCTCTCCTAACTGAACCAAGATGTAAAGTAGAAATGTACCCTCCATATCCAATCTGCAACTCTTCTGACCTACCACACCCACTTGGTCCCCTGTTTAAGCTTGCTAGCCTTGGGGGTGGGGGCTAACACCCTGTCACACTTATCAAGGCAACATTCCTTTCTTGGGCCAAAATGAATGCCCATTCCTGTTCCTTTCCATGCACGCCAACTCCATAAGTGTCTTAAGGTCAAATTTGTTTGTTCTCACAGGCATACAGAAACAGAAAATGGCCAGAGTGTGGAACAACACACTTCTGTGCCCGTTTCTGACATTTTGTCCTGATGTTTAAAATTCAGGGCTGGGATGGTGGGGAGAGGGTGGTATTCAGTGGTATTTGCAAGATGGTGTGTGTGCGCATGCCTGTGTGCATATAAGCACAAGTGTGTAACATCTGCACGTCTGAGATAGGATCACACCCTCCTGGAAAATGTTCTATGCTTCCAGAGTCAGAACATGACTTATATGTGATAGACTATATGGGCTCAACACACCAGCCTTACTGATGAGCCTTTTATAAAAGCCAAACCCTTCCAAGGAGGCAGCTCCTTAGGGATGATGGGCCCCAGCTCATCTAATGATGTCACCAGCTCTACCCTGAGGGTGTGGGGGGAAAAGGGGACAAGAGTGTTCATGTTAAAGGATCTCACAGAGAAGGGTTTCAGGAGAACGTCCTTCTGACAGTAATGTGATGCCACCATGACAGAGCTCAGCGACAGCTCTTCCAGGGAAACTGATCCCCAGAGGGGACTTCTCCATGCCGGATCCCCTGCAAATTAAGTAACCTTTCTTTCCCAGAACCCCTCCCAACAACTTAAGATTCCATAAGCAGAACAAGCTAGATTTCTAGCCCTGAACTCTCACAAGCAAACTCCACTGCCTTTAAAGTCAGGCCGTTGTGCCTGGGCTTCATGGTTGAAAAGACCTCTTAGTCACTGTGCCCTAGTCTAATTGGATGGATGGCAGGCACAGCCTTTATTCAGTCTAGATAATCTGAACCAAAGCAGATTCCTTCAGGGCCAATAGCTTCAGACTGATGCATTGATACACTGAAAATATTTCAGATTTGCATTGATACACTGAGAATATCTCAGATTTCCACATGTAAGGGCAAAATTGTGAGAGACTAGAGAAACTTTTCTTCATTGTTTTATAACATGAAGTTGTCAATTGTGGAGGACCTAGATATTTCTACGCTACCTGTGTTTAAAAATAATGCGCTTTGCCTAACCTTCAGCAGAATGTAATTGTTAAGTATATTCTATGTATAAAGATGTTTAAAGATGTCTTCAAAGAAGACTAGAGTCTTTAAATCACTTATAGCTATATTTTACTACAAAAAGTCTGTATAAAGATATATTTAAATGTTTTAGAGAAATTTAAGTTACCCCATATGAAATGTTTAATTTCAGTTACTGTGAATTCTTCTAATCAGTTACTTTAAAAAAAAAAACGTTTCCATCTTGTTAGAAAGAAAATTAGCTATAGGAAGGTATTAAAAAGATTCATTTCTTAGATGGACAGAGTTAAAAAAATTTGTAATATATTTAAATGTATATTTGAGAGATAATACATTGCCAATGATTTTATAATCTTAAATTAACTTACAAATTTATAAGCTGCAAAGTAAAAGATTTTTAGGAGAAAGAAAAAATGCTCTTTTATTCCCTTAGACATCTATTACTCAGCTCAAGAAACCCAACTCAGTATTGGGGAATGAATGTCCCAAAGTATAAAAAGCAAAGGTGGCCTCCCCGGCCTCTTGTTACAGCATTTCCGACTGCTTCGCCATTCACAGACCTAAATACAAAGTACAAGCTTTACTTTCGTAACGTATTCTGCAAGTTTCCTAAGACTGGCTGAATCCATTTCTATCCTACAAAGTCTTGTGTTGTTTCCGGGGGGCCACACCGTGACCAGAAGCCACGCCAGACTGCATAAGTCCAAGGTGGCTGTTGGCGGCAACGCTCTGTAGCGTTTCGTTTGGTGGCGGTATTCCCCAGCTGTTAATGCGGTGTTTTCAAAGGCTGGAGACTTTTCTTCTGCCTGAGCTGGTCATGTATCAGTTTTGTTTTGTTTTGTTTTCTCCCTAAACACAAAATGGTGTCTTGCTCGTCTGGTAATGAGATTGTACATCCCGTTTCCTGTGTGTTCTCCGCAGGCGTGCCTGAGTGTGTGGGCTGCGCAGGTGCGCGCCCTTTTTGTACTGTAACTACCTCATGGTCTGAATGATAATACTGCTGGCTGTATTAAAAAGAGCACATTTTGTCGGGTGAGTTGTGTATGCAAACTCTTTTTAAACCCTGTCTGTTTTTATCTGGGGGCTCATTCGTAAAACTGACAAATACTTTTCTAGGAAGGACTGTTATCGGTTCCCAAATACAATAAACTCCTCTATTCTGGTTTTTCCTGAATGAGCCTTTGATTGTGTTACTGTTTTTCATCTGTGAGGGTCAGAGTGTACCCTGAAAAAAAAATCCCTGTGGCCAGTTTGAACACCCCCTGCTGTAACCTGTCCTGTTTGTGAGTCAGCGACTTTGTGAACCTGCTTAGAGTTATAGTTTTGATAACCACAACTTTAATTCTTTTATCTGTGCATAATAAAGAGATATATATATCAGTTATCAAGATCCGTGTCTTATTTGTCATCGCTGAATTCTCCCCTTGGGCTGATGCAGCTCCGATTACACCAGCTGCAGCAGGACCAAGGAGGGAGATGAGGGTAATGGAGAGAAGGGCAAGGCCCCAGGAGAGCAGAGGGAGTGGGGCTGTGTCCGGACTTCGTTCCTTGGCCTTCTGTACTCCTAGAGTCAAGGGGGTATGGGGGGGTCATGTGTGTTTAGGCTCCACTCTTTACATCTCCCCCAAATGTCAAAGCTACTTCCACCCTCTCTGTCTGCCACTAGCTTCTTCCAGTTGCCCAAGGCAGAAATGAGATAGCTGGAGCCTCCTTGATACCCATCCCACTTACTAAATAAACCCGAGGTGTCAATCGCCTTAAGGATATTCCCGCTTTCAAGTGATGAACTTGTTCCTACGGACACTGTAACCACTTGCCTGGGGCCACACTCCCCCCCCCCCAGCTGAGCCAACCACAGCAAGCCTCCTGACCAGGCACCAGACTCTTTCTTGCTTTCCTCTAAATCCTTTCTTCACCACACAGCAAAACTCCTAGAACCATTCGCATTGTGTTACTGCCCAACTCGAGCCTTTGAAGTAACGTTTGCCCGGCTTAAAATGCTAAAGTCGAACTGCTGCTGTAGAAAGCTTCCCTTCCTTCTTCCTCCAGCCACTTCCCTGGAGGAACTGGTTATCAGTGATCTTAGTTGAAAACTCAAACTCTATGTTTTCATAAGTAAGGGTTTTATTCTGTTCATAAAAATAGTATAGAGAGTGGCTTCATGCTTCTTGATAACTACATACCATTTCCTACAGGGAATCAAACCTAACTACTGGTAATGGACTTTTAGAAGTGTCTTTTTTTTTTTTTCAGAGTTCTAACAAAATTTTCTGCTGTGGTTAACATTGTGTATGCATCCAGATATACATAATATCTATGCATTTAGGAATACAATAGATATTATTTACACACACACACACACACACACATTTTGGAGCTCTAAAACAACCACAAGAACCGAAAGACAATCTCATCATTACAAGAGGAGGTTTTGACATAAAAAGATTTGAAGAGCTAACTGTGAGTTCACACTCAATTCCAGCACTCAGGAGGGTTGATGGGAGGACAGTTCTGAGACAGCCTAGGCTATATGATAAATTTCAGGCTAGCCTAGGTTACCAAACAAGGTCCTGTCTTAAAAACTGTTTTGGTTTTTGTTTGTTTACTTATTTGAATGGGAGAGATTTAACAATGCAATTAGGCTTGATCCTGTGGGTTTACAAAAGACCATGTTTCCGGGTGTGAGAATGATATACAGATGAGATAGTTCTAGAAATTGCTCCTCACTCCTCCCCCCAACTACTTGTATGTAGATCCAATTCTATGTTCACCCCTCCCTCCTTCATATCCTCTCCCCTCCCCCGCTTTTAATAACCCACCAAGTCTACTCTGAGCTGCCCGTAACCCATGGGTGAGGGGTTGTCTCTGGGGCATAGTCAAGTGACCAGGGGTCACACCCTTTAAGGAGATAGGTTTTCATTGAGCAACCACCAACTAACCTGATCTCCAGGTCCTCAGGTAGGGGTGGGGTCTGCCATTTTTCTAATGAGCTGGGGTTTTGTGTTTGTGATTTTCGAGACAGGGTTTTTCTGTGTAGCCCTGGCTGTCCTGGAACTCGCTCTGGAGACCAGGCTGGCCTCAAACTCACAGAGACCCACCTATCTCTGCCTCTTGAATGCTGGGATTAAAAACATGCATCACCACTGCCTGGCTTTGAACTGTTTTGTTTTTTTTAAAGAAAATCTTCATTGGGGAAATTGTGTGTCACATGTATGACCAATGTCTCCTCATTCCATTAGCTTCTTATTCTGTTCACAATAGATACATCACCAAGATAATTATTTTTCACTTAGGTAGTTAGCTATGCCTATCTTTCCCTTGTATCTTTCTTGGGGTTCTGTAGCCCCAGATAGACCCCCTAACACATTGTCAGTTTTGCTCTTAAGGTTTGGATGCTGAACCCATATATGTTGGATATGAAGGCGGGGTCTATTTTTGTTTCTTCCAGATGAGAGCTCAGTTCTACTGGAGGGTCTATTTTAAAGTTCACCCGTTTTCTACTAGAGTAAGATTTTTTTTTCAAATAAGGGGCTGGAGATGTACGTAAGTACATGATACTGACCTAGTGTGTGCCTGCGGACCTAGGTTCAATCATAACTGAAGAAAAGGAAAAGGAAGTGTGGGTTGTCTGGCATTAAGACAGATTTGGTGTGAAGCCATGAACCTAAATAGCACAGCATTATCAAGCCTAGGAAAAGACAACTAGAGCAACAGGAGATCCAGCTAAGGCGTTAGCGTGATGACAGCCATAGTTCTCATTATGTTCTGAAATTATTCCACATCCCAAATGAAAATGTCGCAACTCTGAGACCTACATAAAAGCATATGGGCTGTCTGGTTTTCACTGAAAACAAATAAATCTGGCATTCCCTTCCCTGTTATTGCAGAGATTTTGAGAAAGGGTGGTCTGGTCACAGTAATAAGAAGCAGACCAATGTCAGGTCTACCCCAACGGTTGTGGTTCAGCCCTGATCTCTCTCCCGCCTCACGGAAAAATCATTTATAAGTCAAGCATTGGGGCTGGTGAGATGGCTCAGAGGTTAAGAGCACTGGCTGCTCTTCCAGAGGTCCTGAGTTCAATTCCCAGCAACCACATGGTGGCTCACAATCATCTATAATTAGATCTGGTGCCCTCTTCTGGCGTGCAGACAGACATGGAGGCAGGCTGTTGTATTCACAATAAATAAAAAAATAAAAAGTCAACCATCATTTGAGGTGTGTTGCTTCTTCCAGCCACCTAGGAAAGCTGTAACAATTCTGCGAAATGAAGAAATATCACCCAGTGTTATTTTCCTTGCCCTATGTTGCTAAGGTAACAGATTTAAAAGAATGCAAGGTGCTTGATTCCCTTTTACAGATGTCATTCGCAGTGTGAGGTTTGAGCTGGGGGCATGTCTCTGCCTTTGTCTCTGGAGTTTCCATCTTGCCTTTTTTCAGAGGAACTGGACGCTGTTGCTCCTTGTGGAGGCGATTTTTCACACTCGGGTAAAGGTCATATGATGTCACCCCCTCTCTCCTCAGAAGGCCACAGCTTGAATTGATTTTTTTCCCTCCACTTCACTGACTCCAAGAATTTGTTTTTTAAAAAAAAATTCAAAAGTAGAATCCCAGGACTGGTTTTGTTTTGTTTTTAACTTTTAAATGCCCCCTCCAAAGAAGCAATGTGTGGGTCCTGTTTTGGGCCTAAATCTGAGGGGACACGGTCTGTCGTGGAGCTGAAGGCAAGGCAGGCGGCAGAAGGAGTGTGAAGCTGGGTGGGTCCCTCACCCCCTACCATCTCGGCAGAGCCGTAAGCAGAGAGCACACAGGAAGTACAACGGGGTTATAAAAGCCAAGGCCCAGCTCCCAGGGACCAACTTCCGGTGGAGCGTTTCCATCTTCCATGCGGCATCAGCAGCTGGGGGCCAAATGCCCAGACACACAAGGTGTTCAAGCAACACTGCCTACCACCTTGGCCTAGGAAGTGAGAGTTGGAAATGAGTGTAGGCTCTGGAATTTCGTCATCCTGGGGGTATGAGGACCAGCCTTCAGGGTGCCCTGACCAAAGAGATGTAGATGGATGGAGAAATCATGGGGAGAGCGATTTGCTGGAGGACCTCTACACGCCTGGTCCTACCTATTCCAGATGAACACATTTATGGGGTAGCACAAATGTGACTTCGTCCTGCCTGGAAATTTACCTGGCCTAGAGACGATATTTAAAAGGTCAGGTGTAGAGTATAACCTTCCCACCAGCCTGGTTCCCGAGCCACATCAGTCCCAAATGAACACACAGGAGGCTATATTAATTATGAAGCTGTTGGCTGTTTGCTGTTTGCTTGTTTCTTACTGGCTAGCTCTGACTTAAGTATTTACCCCATAATTGTTAATCTAAGTATTTCTCTTACCAGAGAAAAGGGTCCGGACTTCTTACCACTATGGCAGCTACATTGATGACTCCCTGTGTTTCTCCTTCCCAGAATCTTCCTCGATCCTAGTCCCGCCTATCTTGCTTCCCTATTGGCCAACAGTGCTTTATTCAACAGCCAATAAGAGACAGATTTACAGAATGGCATCTCCCATCAGTCAGGTACATCCGTAGTCCCACAGTAAAGTCCCATAAATGCTTCCAGTATTTTAATCTATTTATGATTTGCTTGGAGAATACTCAAAAAGAAAAAAGAAAACAGGGTTACTCAGGGACATCGTGCAACTTGTGGTTTTAGGTGACTGCAGTCACATCAGGCTGTATCCATATAATCTCCCCCTCCTTAACTGGCCCTTACAATCTCACATCCTACCCGCCCCCTCCTAGAATGGGCCCTTAGCCTGCCAGGGGGGTTGGGCATCCTGTAGGCAGCATGCAGCAAGACCGTTTGTCCATCATGGGACCAGAATCCACATCAACTGTCGAGGCAAGTGCTCAAAACCAGACAAAAAACAAACAAAAACAAAAACAAAACAAAAGACAACAGCCATGTAGACACGGTTAACAGCAAAACTTCTCCCCTGAGCCCCAAGAACAAATGCAGCAGCTCAGCCTGCTTCCTATACAAGGCATAAAACTTGCGTGGCAGAATATTCCTTTACACTGTGCGGAGAGGTGTCACTGTGGCGGGTTTGATAAAGAGCTGAATGACCAATAGCCAGTCAGGAAGAGGTTAGGCAGGAGGACTTCTAGGGACAGATAGGTCCCAGGAAAGAAGGAAGGAGGGGTCACCAGCTGGATGCAGAGGAAGCAGGGCATTCGGGAGGAGAGGTGAAAAGCTGTGAGCCATACGGAGTGATAGAAATGGGTTAATCTAAGCTATACGAACTAGTTAGAAACAAGCCTAAGACCGGGCTTTCATAATTAATAGCAAGTCTCTGTGTCATGATTTGGGGGCTGGAAGTCGAAAAAAAAAAAAAGCCTGCTACAAACATGGGTTTGCTAGCAGTGAGTCTTCAGGGACAACGGGAAAGCTGCAAGACTAAAACTATGGGTAGAAAAAAAATGAACATGTTGGCCAAGGTCTAATAAAAGGGTAAATCAGTGTCATCCACAGCACGGTTCTGGAAGCCCCGTCTCTCTTCTGGAGGGTACAGTGGCAGTGCTGGGAGCTGACATAGTGGAGCAACCACCCATGCTGGCTGGTAGGATGGAGTCTGCTGTAGTCTGAATGTAAAAAGTCCACGCCCGCCCCGCCCCACCCCCGCCCCGCCCCCGCCCCACCCCGCCCCGCCCCGCCCCCGCCCTGCCCCCGCCCCGCCCCCACGTTTCCACCCCACATCCCCCCAATGCACACAACCCACACAGACTTGTGAGCTTGGACATGTGGGTCCCTGTCTGGTGGCACTGTTTGGGAAGTTCTGGGACCCTTGAGATGCGACCCGACTACCAGAAGGGATCGCTGAGAACAAGACTTGAAAGGTTACCTCTGCCTCTGCTTCCCGATTCTTCAAAAGGTAACAAGCAGCTTACTGTATAATGGTCTCATCACTATAGACAGTCATTCCAGTTGTCATGCCTTCCTGGCCACAACAGACTGTTTATCCCGAATCGTGGGCCAGAATAAGTTTCTGTGGCGTATTCTGTCACAATGCCCAGAAGTGTAACTAATACACAACCCCTTTCAAGGTATGGTGACCACACCCCTCAGCCAGGTAACAGCGGCAGGAAGTATCCATTGCTTTTAACTAAGTGAAGAGAGCCTGGCTCTGTTGATCAAGTTACAGAAGAATTCTGATAATGGCATTCTGTAGAGCACAGCAGAGCCAAGGGAGAATGGGACTTTTTTCCAGCACTTGGGCAATGGTAGGCACCACAGCATGGGAGGCATGATCTTATTTAGGTTCCTATATTCTACATTCTTTCCATTCTGCCCATCATGGTGGAGTATACGGATACAGCATGACATAACTACAGCCGTCTTAAGTGGTAGCCATTACCTCTACGTAACCCTAAATGTTTTCCCCTCCCTCTTTAGGATCAGAGTTTTATTCTAAAATCTGAAAACCATTATTTCACTCTTACTCCTCCCCACCCCCTGACTCCAGACAATCTAAGAATTGTTTACAACAGGGAGACAGGTTTGTCACTGGTTTACTCTGCAATGGTAAGAAATGGAAGGTTGCCTTTTGGGGTGTAAAAAATCTACTTCCCCCCCGCTGGAAGCCTTCACATACTAGATGCTATCCCCTTAGAGTAGGATGGTTTGTGACATTCAGAGAAACTTTAAGACCACAACTAAACTACTATAATAAATTGATCTCTGGCGTCACTCATTAAACCACAGTGTGTCAGGGGCTGTTAGGGATCTCCCATGGGACAGACTATGGCTAGCGTGTGAGCATCTGGTGAGTAGGCTTGCTTTCTTCCCTGTTTGGGGAGATGCTTGAAGCCGCACTCTATTTTAAACTGTTTTGGTGAACTTGCAATTGGAAGAAAGGATTCCTGCGGTGACTCAAAGCAGAGGCTCCCTTTCTGTGAAATGAATAAACACTTCCTAATCTTTCTGTAAATACAGATTTTCATACGTTCGGTTGGCTTGCCATGCTCTGTGAGAAATTTGTTTGCTAAGGCTAAGTGTGGGTGTGGATGCGGCTGAGTATTTGGGAAACGAGTGTAAAAGAATGAGTTTACTCAAACCATGTCATAAACCCTGCTGGTCTGGGTAGAAGTCAGGAGGTTTGAGAAACATATTTTGAATGAGATAATAACAACAGACAGAGACAGAGGATGGGAAGTCAGAATACACACACACACACACACACACACACACACACACACAGAGAGAGAGAGAGAGAAGCACAAAGACACAGACACAAGCCAACACACACTGACACATGCACATACACGCATGCACAGATGCAGACATAGACACAGATAGGCACAAACACGTGTGTGCTCACACACAGATAAACATACACATACACCTGGTTATGTACTATTTTCAGGTCATAAAAAAAAAAAGGAAAGCAGAGGAGGGTGAACCACCAGAGAGACGCCATGTAGCCTCCGAAGGAGTAACAGGTCCTGGCATTCTCCGATAAGCCAAGACCATGTATTAATGGTTATGGGTTAATAATTAAGAGAGAGCTAGCCAGTAAGAAGCCTAAGCCACCGGCCAAACAGTTTATAATCAATGTAAGCCTCTGTATGTTCACTTGGGACTGAACACCTGCCGGACCAGTCGGAACAGAAACTTCCTTCTACGCGTTCTCTTCCGATTGGGGCAAATGTTTAGTGCACGCCGCGTGCCGTTGCTGCTGCAGGTGAGGGGGCCACATCAGTGAGCAGCAGACCCTGCCCCTTCTGAACTGCCAACCCCAGCAGGGACACGTTGAACACACATCAAAACAGAGCAAGACAAGGGCGGTAGGGAATAGGAGGTGTGTATGGGTGGCGTCTGTTTCAAGTAGGGCTGGTGAGAACCTCTTCCCACACTGAACAGAGAGAGGGCCCAAACACAGCCGGCCACCCTCGCCGAGACCAACAGAGAGCAGAGGGCTGGGGGACAACACAAAGACCTAGACCGGAAGCTCGCGGGAGGTGTTGAGGACTGGCAAGGAGGACGCAGCGGTTAGAATGAGATCGAGAAGCCGTGAAGCCAGTGTAAGAGCTAAGAGGGGAGAATGGACCGATAGCAGCATCACGTCCGGTGACCCGAGGGACCCAAGGCCAGGATCAGACATCGTTCCTGACGAGGCAGGAAACCCGTTGTCCTACAGGGCAACGCTTACACGTGAGAAGGGGCTGCTCTGTAGAGAAGAAACGGATGAGAAGACCCAGGCCATGGCCCTTTGCCACAGTGCTGATGGGAACCAATCTGGTAGCAAGGGTCGGATTTTTTTTTCTTGGTACAATTCGAAGGAAAATCTGAGGATACACGCTGGTGGATTTGGGTAGGATGTTGAGACACCGGGCTTGGGGCCTGAGACAGCGGGGAGAAGCCATAGCGGCCTCGGCAGGAAGAATTAGGGTGTTGGGATCTGGCAGAGAAGATAAAGATTCCTACTTTGTGGGAACACCTTGAGCAGAGACCCACTTCCCCTTCTGCCTGGGAGTAGGCAGCTGTAAGACAATGTTTAGTAAAAACATGTTTACTAAAAACGATACAATAAGTTCCTGGAAAAGGCCTTCCCATGGAAACCGCCCTGACCTTGACCTTGTTCAAAGACTAACCGCACCTTTAAAACCCACACACATCCACCTCTGGTGTCAGAGCAGAACCAGCCAGGGTAGAGGAGAGAGCGGAAGCTTTTCTGGAGGGAGCCTTTCTTAGGAAGTTTTCTTGAACCTTTTTGGAGCCTGTTTAAAGTTTTCTTTATATTGTTGAACGAGTCTCTGTGTTGTCAATCCCCGACACCCTCCGCACGTTCTCGGACACAGGCCGAGATGCAGACGTGACACTACTTGGGTTATTGTGTCCGTTCCTGGGTTTCCAAATGAGATGCTGTAATGCCAGACAAACGTCTAAGACAGCGTTTTTGAGGTGTGGAATCGGAGAGGAAGGTACAAATTTAGAATCACCAATATAAGAGATAAGAGTGTGCTTACTAATGGAACCCAGGGCATTGCACATGCTGGGCAAATGTTTTGCCACTGAGCTACACACCCCCGGCCTGGAGACTGTAGTGGTATCTTGCCTTGCCAGTGAACTTATAGCAGTGGCCACACTCTTTGGGCGTGGTTGAGTACAGAAATGACTGCTTTAAAATAGAGAAATTGGGAGTTGAGGGGGGAGGTAGGACCGGGGGGACGGGACACTGTCTTGGGTCTCGGAGAGCATCAGAAAGGCAGTGACTACATCTTCTGGAGCAGGAGGCCGGGGCTGTTATTTACCTCTTATCTGTGTAAGTTGTTCCCCAATAAAACACCTATTTGTCCTTTATATTGGGTCTGGTAAAACTCCTTATTCCCTTCCCCCCACCTTCCAGAGATACCATTTCAAGTTGTACGGGATGAGACTGTCCAGCATTATAAGGACAGGAAGAGTATGCAGGAAGAGAACACTGAGGCTGAGGTGCACGTTCAGAAAGATTCGCATCCATCTTCTGCATTGCTGCCCCTCCCCCCGCACGTGCCTCCCCAGAGTCACGAGTAAAGCAGAGGTGATGATTCCCAGCTCCTGACATAGGAGGGTTAGGGGTGATAAACAGCCTGGCCGGTAACTTAACAAGAGGGGAGGCCATGCTTCCTCCCCTCCCCCCCATGGCCTCTTCCTCTGTGTTCCCTGCACTGAACACAGCAGGACCACTTTGAGTCATCTCGTGCTTCGAGATGATGAGGAATAAACTTGTTCTCCAGCTCCGGGGGATAACCCATGTTTAGCATCCCAGTTCTGAGGGCAGATTTGTGTTAGCGATGGGAAAGGCTGGTATCTGTGGGGGATGGCTGAATCAGTGGTTAAGTTAAACAGGCCACTGGGGAGAATACGGTGGGCACTGGACTGCGCCTCTGGAGCCTTTGGCCCCCCAGACCTAGGAGTGTCTGAAGGGCTGGCCATACTTGAAGAAGCAGCTAAAACATGCAAACATAGGCTGACCTCCCCACTTCTGACCACTCTTGCTACCTTCAACTCCTGTGCAGACATCTGTCCCAGGAATGGACCCCCCCCAAAAAAACCCTCCTGTTGGTGAAGAGAAATGATTGCCAGGAATACGTTCTGAAGTGAGAATTCGAGCTCACTGGTGGGGCTTGGCTATGAGAACCTGGGTAGATTTCTAGAAAAAAAAAATGTAGCAGTCATTGTTAAAAACCTATAACTAGGTCGAGTCCTAATATAGCCCAGATGGACAAGGGCTGGGCCCATAAAAGGATGGAAGGAATTGCAGGGCCTGCGTGGACACGTGTGGGACTAAATCAAGTTCCGGAGTGCAGGCAGAACACAAGATCAGCTTATTAGTCATCCACTGCCGTATACCACCACCACCGCCGCACGCTTGGTGGTTTTAAAAACACTGCAGGCTCGCAGAAGTTTTTGTGGCAGATAAGAGCTGAAGGAACCAGAAGGGTTCAAGACCACCGGGCATGCAGGAGCAACTGCGGGGTGTGAAGCTGGAAGCCTCGGGACACAGAGGGAGGCTCTGAGCACCTGCTCACGGAGGCTGTGGCTCCGAGCCAGGCACCATCAGTCAGCCCGCGGCCTGGAGGGAGGAGGTGGCGTGACAGAGTTTCCTGTCGGGATGGATGTGGGATGAGAGAGAACCAGGGGTGCAGAGTGTGCCTGAAGGCTTGGGGAGAGCAAAGAACCAAGATACACATTAAAGAGCAGGAAGAGATGTAAGGCAGGCAGATTCGGGGAAGAATTCAAGAGTTCTATTGTCCACAGTCGTTTATCTGCCAGACACTCAAACCAGAGGTGTCAGCAGGCCACTGGGTATATGAGTTAGGGAGAAAGCCTAAGCGAGTAGCAGAAAAATGAGACAGTTATCCGTGTATGGACGCACGGACCTTCCTTGGATTGCATCATCTAGAGAGTACTCAGAGACAAGGGACAGGTGACTGCATGATGGGATCAATGGAAAAATGACGAAGGAAGCGTTGGTTAAACGTTTCTATGTTCAAGGTGGAGTTGGGAGAGAAGTGGGTGGGAGAATTAGTTTTTAAAAATATAGATTATTGCCCGGTGTTGGTGGCACACGCCTTTAATCCCAGCACTCAAGAGGCAGAGGCAGGAGGATCTCTGTGAGTTCAAGACCAGCCTGGTCTACTGAGTGAGTTCCAGGACAGCCTCCAAACCCTGTCTCGAAAAACCAAATATATATATATATTATTCTGGGAACCTGGAGGTGGGAGGGAATTGGGTCAAGAGAGACGGAAAGCCTGGCAAACATGATCACTTATACTCTCTGGCCCATCAGCAAGTCCTTTTCAACCACCTCCTTGTTCCAATCCATTGTTTGTTTCTTTGTTTCCCCAAGTTGGGGGCCAAGCTTGTTGTAGGTATTATCTAGGGTAGGGTGGGGTTAGAGTTAAGAGACTTGGGATTCAAGATTCTTGTGTTTCAAGACAGGGTCTCTCTGTCTAGCCTTGTGGCAATTCTCACATGAAGTCAAGGTGCTTAAAAGTTCTGGGTTCCTAGAAGCAAAAACCAAGTGGATAGTCATTAACATGATCATAGAGTGTTTAACCAGTGCTTCATTCATGAGCTTTTTAATCGATCCATCCATGCAATCATCTGTCCCATTTCTCTTACATTCCCAACACCCACAGGATGGATTTTCCACTCATTCGGCAAGGTGCCCGGCCAGGCCATTCCCTGTGCCTGCTGTAAAGGAGAGACATATGCTGTATGCCTGTGCTGGTAAAGGATTTCATGTAAGAATACTGTGGCCAGGTGTTGGTGACGCACTCGAGGCAGGTAGATCTCTGAGTTCGAGGCCAGCCTGGTCTACAAAGCAAGTTCCAGGACAGCCTCCAAAACAGTACAGAGAAACCCTGTCTAAAATAATAATAATAATAATACTTGACCAGTCCCTGGACCCCGTACCAGTTGTAGTCATTTTACAGTTGACTTTCTCTCTTTTTATTACAGTTAGAATTGGCAAGTGACTTCCTCTCTTAGTCTGGAAGACCTGACAACATCTCGTTGTTTTGACTGCATTTCTCTGACAACTGTCAAGTGAACATCTCTTGCATACTAGACAACCCCCCCCCCCCCGTGGTGAACTGCATATGTGTGTGTGTGTGTGTATAATGCCTTGCCAGTTTCCCTACTTAGAATCGGCCCTGCTTCCACTGATCGTGTAAAAACATTTCCGTATTATCCCTGACAAGAGAGAGAAAGTCACTGCGGTCCAGTGTGCCCATCAGCTGGGAGCAGTGTGGAAGGGACTGCCACTTTCGCAGCTTTGTCCTGTTGTCTCTTGGCCCTCAGCATCCTATGGTGAGAGGAAGACAGTGACAGAACAGGAGAGCCTACACCCAGAGGAGGAAAGCAAGAGTCTTCCAAATCTCTCAGCCCACCGCTGCAGAGCCCCAGCCCCTCCACCAGGCCCCACCTGCTGCCCCCCCCTCCCCCTGCAGCGGGTGTGGTCTCCTTGGCCAGGCCTGAAGGGATTATCCGGGATCAATATTTGAAATAGTTGATATTTTTTTTCAGTCTAACTGGAGTTAAAGTCTACAAGCTTTTTTTTTTTTTTTAACTTAACCACCAAACACCAGAAATAAAAACCTGGAAGGGCGCCAACTTGACTCAGAGCCAGGGCCCTCCCCCTAGCTGAGGAGGAACGAGGCCACCGGCCCCAGTTGCTTTCCCTAACTGTTGACAATTCCTTTCAAAGGCCGGACAACCCCCCTTCACGTCTCAGATTCTTCAAGGGAGTAAATGCAGCCCCAAGAGCGATTCCTAGAGATCCTGTCTTCCCAGCTTGGCTCCTGAGACCTGAGCTCTTGCTGGGGCTGGGACAGGGACAGGGAGTTTCCCCCCTAAGCCGTCCTCCCCCCAACCCAATGCCCCCCCCTCCGGTGCTCCGTGTGACCTGGGCCCCAGATCTGGTACTTTCCTAGGGGGATTTTCTGTTGCTGGCTCTGCCAATGTTAAAACAAGATCCCGTGGTGGGTCAGGGGGGAGGGAGCAAGGATCAGAGCCCGTCTGAGGTTGGGTGTCTGTGACATGGGGGAGGAGGGAGTGTCATTGTACTGATCCCTAATTAGGGACTAGACTGCTGGGTTCCAAAAGGGCTTGTCACCTGGCACCCATGTATGGAGTACCAATTACGACACACACACACACACACACACACACACACACACACACACGCACACACACACACGCGCGCTCGCGTGTGTCTACAGAGGTCACAGTTCAGTGAGAAGGACAGACATGGAACAAATAATCCCATAACCAAGTTTCAACAGTTACAATCATGAACATTTTTGTTTAAGTCGAGTGGGAACAATTCCATGGCTTTGTGTTATTAAGTCCCTTTGCTTGGAGAGGATCTCAGAATCGTCAAGGGAGTTTTGGTGGTGTCCTCTTTCCCCTGTCTCCTTTACTTAGGGCCATCCCCAGGAAAACAGACCCAAGAGGAGAGGACTGGAGGGAAGCTGGGCAAACTGAGTACACCCCCCTGCTTCCTGGCTTGAGAAGCTGCTGGATTCAAGCCCTGAGACCCTTAAACAACGCCCCCAAGTCAGTCCCAGGGACAGTCTTTGGCCCTGTGTTGGCCTTGGGCGTGATTCTGAGTAAGCTCTCCCTGACCAGAACATTTAGGGGCTCCTCCTCCATCTCCTACTCTCCACGGTCAGAACTCATGTTCCAGATGGGCTCAGCTGGCAAGCATCTGAGACATGTCTCGGCATCTTGTGATGTGTTCCTGAGCCCCTGGGGCCTGTATGCCGTGAGTCATTGGCTCTGACTGGACCCCTGATTCATGCTCCTGGGTCCTTGGCCCATAAACCAAGGTCCAAGAAGGCCTGCAGGGGACCGCTGTCCGTGAGGCCCCGCCGCTTGGCTCTGAGCCTTCCAACTCTGTTCTCTAGCCTTGTTCTCGACACCCAATTCTTCAATCCTGCTTGTAACCGGCCCCGCCTCTGGACTCGTTCTGAAGCCCCAAGTTGTCCTCTGACTTCTGCCCTTACTAGGCTACAGAAAACCGGGTACGGCGGGGAGCCGTGTCAAGGCAGGGCTATTGCTCTTCCAGACCGAAGGAAGAGGTTTTTCTTTCTAGAAACTTGGGTAGGCAGGATGCGCAGCTCAGGCAGCGGGAAGAGAGGAGCCTTTCACCATGGCTGAGTGTGCGGACTAGCCTGGGACCCTAACACAGCTACGCTCCAGCTAGAAGGCAATTTCCTCTGTGCCTCAGATCCATCCTCTATAAAATACAAGCGGGGGGGGGGCATAAGAATTAAGATGAAGTGAGTTAAACATGCAGATCTTCGAGAATCCCGGGACGCTGTGGTTACTAATTATCCCTGCTGCGGTAGGCACTTTGCGCCACGCTCCACAGGGCCATTGCCCTCAAACTTCAGGTTGATTAACTTGGGTGTTTACGGCAAGCGTCCTCTTAGACCTGCCAATAGCCTCGTCCCTCTTCGTTTTTAAAAGTTACGTTTTTAATCCTATTTGTGTGCGAGTGTGTGTGCGCCTGCACGTGTGGTGGAGATCAGGGGACAACTTAAGAGGCATTTCTCTCCTTCCACTTCGTGGTTCTGGGGGATCCACTCACATCCACCGGACTTGAAAGGTGGCAAGGCCTTCTCACACCCCTGAGCTAGTCGGTGGACCTCAAAAACCACAGCCTGTATTCTTCCGCGGGTCAGCAGCGATGGGTTAGACCAGCAGCTCCCTACACTGCAGTGTTTTGGGCTCTGCCTCGCCTGGGTTTCGACTCAAGCTCAGCGCCCGTTCACAATCTGGACCTCTGCTCACCTCACAGGACGCAGGCTATCATTGTAGCGGCTTCCAAGCTGAAATGGACACACGAGGAAGCCTGCTCCCTTCGCGCAGGGCCGGCTCCTCCCGCAGGAACATTGCCAGCACCGGAGAACGGAGGACTTCCGCCGAGACGAAACGTGCCTACAAGAATGGCTTGCGGTGGATGAAAAGGTCCAGAAGGCAGGGTCACAAAGGGAGACTCGGGCCAAGAACAGAAGGGCTGAGCCCCACACCCCACACTCTCTGAAGCCCAAGTAAGGGGCTGGAGGCTTGACTGTGGGGTGGATTTTTGACCAGTTTTTAGACCCAGGGACACCAAGTATGGTGAGGGAGGACTGTCGGGGAGCACCTAAGTGGAGGAGGTAGAGTATTCCCCCCCCAAAAAACAGGACGATTCCTTGTCCTGGATGGTGGGATCCCAAGTCCCTTTCCCACACTGCTCATATAACTGTAGCCAGACTCCAAGAGCCGAGGCAGAGGACAAGAGAACTTTCTAGAAAGATGAGCTAGAACAAGAGACAAGTCCCAGTAGGTTCCGTTGGAGGACTCTCAAAGAAAGAAGGTCCAGGTTAAGCATCTTATCAAACCCTAACGAAGGTTACCAGGCAACAAAAACCATTCACGGCCAGGTAAGCCTGTGGCGAGTTACTTAACGCCTCATTCAGAGTATTATCCATCAGTGATGGCCCTTGTGTGTTTGAATAGAAACTTTATAATAAAAGGACCTATGAAAACCATGGTTTTAACATTTTTCTTATGTCCTTTGCCTATCAGTATTATTAATAAATGTGTTTTTTAGATGCTATAACTTGAATGTGACCCTCAGAGTTAAATACTGGAAGCTTAAACCCCAACACAACAGTGCAAAGAGGCAAAGCCTTCTAAAGCAGGTGATGAGGCTTTGAAGGACCTGCCCTTGTGAACAGATGAGTGTCACTCTATCGGGTCCCTCGCTGCCAGTGTAGACCCGTTGTAAAGCCCTCTCTCAGCCCGGAAGACCTTCTAACCACGCTCCCACCGGACCCGACCTTTAACCTCGGGCTGCTCCCCAGGCTTCAGAGCTGAGTAAGCTTCTGCTAGTAGCAAAGCATTCTGGTCTGCGATAGCAGGGGTTAGCCCCAGGGAGGAGAGCGTGCAAACGCACATTTCAAAGCCTTTCCAGAGATTTGTGCAGAGCTTCAGAAGTTCATCATGTGACCCCCCCTTCCTCCTCCTCCTCCTCCTCCTCCTCCTCCTCCTCTTAGAAAGAAAACTGAAGCCCTGAGAAGGGAGAGACCAGCTGGCTCTAGAACCTTCTTGGTGATGAAGGCACACATCCTCCACCTGTCTTCGTGGCCTCTCAACCTGCCCCCGCCGCACCCCCCCATCCCAAAGCCGCGTTTCCCACGGGGTCCTCACTTTGGGGGATTACAGGAGCCGGTACCCCCAGTTTTCAGCATGTCTTGAAGCCCGGAGACAGACAGCTGGGAGGATTTTTAAGCTAGCTTGAGCACCGGTAAGACTTCATGCTACAGTTTATCAAGTCCTCTGTTAGCACCTTGCAAATCTTTATCACACAGGATCACAGGGTTCAGCTGTACGGGATCTACAATTCAAGTCACAGTCAAAAGGATTAGTGAAGGCCCCCGTCACGGAGCAGGAGCCAGCCGCTGATCTCTCCAACACACCACGGCCGGCAGGCATTTAGGAAAACTGTATTTTTAAGTTTTAGTACACTGGGTTGCATAAAGTCAGTTTCACGCAATATAAGATGTCCTCTGACATTATCTAACCCCCCCCCCGTTCCCAGCTGCTCCCTCCCCTCCCCCTCCTCCTCCCCCCTCATCCTTTTGGTCCCTCGACCCCCTAAAGACTACTCTCCCCAGCGTCTATTCAAATATGGCTTCACACGCCTCCATTAAAAAGCTAGAATCTTGCAAATGAGGGGGAAAAAGGATGCGATATTCGTCTTTCCTGAGGCATATTTAATTGGTTTGATACGATTTTACCCCCGATTGTATCCATTTCCTTTAGGAGACACAAGGACATTGCTTCATTCTCCTTTTATGATTGAGAAATACAAAACTGTGTGTAGAGACCACACTTCTCTGTTGGTCAATCCCGAAGTGCTGCGATAAACACCGATGTGCAAATGTCTCGTCCACACATTGCCTTGGAGTCTTCAAAGGTAAATACCCAAGGAGGGGCAAGGCTGGGTCATAGGATACGTCTGTTTTTAGTTCTTGAGAACCCTCCGCATACAACTGTTATAGGGGTTGGATTTAGTTTACATTCAAACCACCAGCGTTTTAATGATGAGGTCTACATCTCCACCAGCATTTGCTGCTCTTTGTTTCCGTAACAACTGCCGTTCTAACTGGGGTGAGACAATCTCAGTGCAGTTTTTTTTAACGTATCTATCCATCTGCATGTGTGCCACAGTTCACACATGGAGGTGAGACTTGCAGGAGTTGGTTTTTCTCTTCCATAGTGGGGGCCCTGTGGGTTGAACTCAGGTCGTCAGGCTTAGAGGCAAGTGCTTCTACCAAAATAAGCTACCCCGGTGGGGCCTCGGTGCAGGGCCTCAGTTTGCATTTCCCTGATGCCCAGCAAGGCTGAGCATTTTTTGTTGTGTGTTTTTTTTCATGTGTTCACTGGCTGAACTTCCTCTTTTGAGAATTGCACGCTCATTTCACTGACTCATTTATCAGTTGGGTTGTTTAACTTATTATGTAATTTTTGAGCGCTT